AAAACGTATTTTCATGTTAATCATAGTTGTGAAAGAAGAAACAGATGAAAAGAAAAAAAAAACATGAAAAAGAATAAAGTAAGCAAAAAAAGTATTCTTTGATCTGCATTCAGAATCCAACAGTTCTTTATGTGGATGTGGATAGCATTTTCTTTCCTGGCTCCTTTGTACTTGTCTTGGATCACTGTGTTGCTGAGAAGAGCTGAGTCATTCATCAATGATCACCACATGATGTTGTTGATACACACACTGTTGTATACAATGTTTTCTTGGTTCTGTTCATCGTACAAGTCTTTCCAGGTTTTTCTGAAATCTTCCTGTTCATTATTTTTTATTGCTCAATAGTATTCCATTACATTTGTATACCACAGCTTGTTCAGCCTCCCCAATTGATGGGCATCACCTCAATTTCCAATATTTTATCATCAGGAAAAGAACCGCTATAAATATTTTTGTGCATGTAAGTCTTTTTCTTTTTTTTACGATCTCTTTGGGATAGACACCTAGTAGTGATATTGCTGGATTAAAGTTTGGTTGCCCTTTGAGCATAGTTACAAGTTGCTATTTAGAATAGTTAGATCAGTTCACAGTTCTGCCAACGGTGCATTAATGTCTCAATTTTCTCACATCCTTTCCAACGTTAATCATTTCCTTTTTGTTATTAGCCAATCTGATAGGTGTGAAGTGGTACTTCAGAGTGATTTTAATTTATATTTCTCTAATCAGAAGTGGGTTAGAGTACTTCTTCATATGCCTATAGATAGCTTTGATTTCTTCACCTGAAAGCTACTTATTCATATCATTTGACCATTTGTCAATTGGTTTGTATTCTTATAAATCTTGCTCAGTCCTCTATATATTTGAGAAATGAGGCCTTTATCAGAAACACTGGCTATAGAGATTGTTTCCCATCTTTCTGCTTTCCTCCTAATCTTGGTTGCATTGCTTTAGTTTGTGCAGAAGCTTTTTAATTTAATATAATCAAAATTATCTACTTTATATCTTTATATTTCATAATGCTCTTTGTCTCTTATTTGATCATGAATTCTTCCCTTCTCCACAGATTTGACAAGTAGACTATTCCTTGCTCTACTAATTCACTTATGGTATCACCCTTTGTGTCTAAATCATGTACCCATTTTGACCTTATATTGGTATATGGTGTGAGATGTCAGTCTATACCTAGTTTGTGTCCTATTGTTTTCAGTTTTCCCAGCAGTTTTTTTTTTTGTTGTTGTTTTTTGCTTTTTTGTCAAATGGTGAGTTCTTATCCCAACAGCTAGGGTCTTCGGGTTTATCAAACACTAAGTTGCTATGGTCATTGACTGCTGCATCTTGTATAACTAATCTATTCCACTGATCCACCACTCTATTTCTTAACCAGTTCCAGATAGTTTTGATGATTACTGCCTAATAATAAATTAACTTAGGTAGAATTATTATTTTAATTACACTGGCTCAGCCTACTCATGAGGAATTGATATTTATCCAATTGTTTAGATCTGACTTTATTTGTGTGAAAAGTGTTTTGCAATCATGTTTACATAGTTCCTAGGTTTATAGTGGGAGGTAGACTCCCAAGTAGTTTATATTGTTATATTTATTTTAAATGAAATTTCTCTTTCTGTCTCTTGCTGCTGGGCTTTATTGGTCATATAAATCTTCAGCATTTCTTTCCCCCTAATGAGACAGACCTTTCCTGCCGATCTGCCAAGTTTCTTGGGCTAAAATGTTGTTTCATCTTTTCTTTTTGTTGGTTATGCTGTTCCAGGATTTATTTTGGGGCACTATTTTATTATTTATTATTTGGAGGTGAATATGAGAGAGCTGTGGCAATTTACTGCTCACTCTGTCATCTTGGCTCCTGGAAGTTACCTTGAGCCATATTTTTCAACAAATTTTTAGTCTTTTTTTTTCTATGCCTGTCTTTGTACTGACATTACTGAATATCAAAGAGAAAGTTGATTTGAATTGGAAGATCTTATTAAGTCAGTCAAAGAATTTCTCTACCTCTTCATCTTCTGTAAAAATAATACATAAGCCACATATCTTCATTGTAGTCTTTCTACTTATGCTCATCATGAGCATTGGAAACTGAGATGATCCAGTACTTATGAGATGATGTTCCATGTTGCTTTTATATGCACAACATTGGAACAATTTAGCCACTTTTCTCTCTGGATTCTAAATTATTTCCCACAATTGGATTAATCCATAGTTCCACCAACCATATGTTAGTGTGTTTGTCTTCCCACAACCTTTACAACACTGACTTTTTTATCTTTTGTGAGTTTTGATAATTTGATTACTGAGAAGAGAAATCTCAAGCCTTATTTTGCATACATCTTTTTTGTGGGGGTTGGAGTGGGAATTTGGATCAATCTTTCCTATAGTTGTTACAGCTTACCTTTCATATTTGGAAAACTTTTCATATCTTTTAGCCATTCATCTAATGCCTGAACCTGTGACTTAATTGCTATTGAATAAGCTCTCAGTGACGAACTTTTTTTACTAAGTCAGGTCAGCACCTTTTCTACACATTGTAATCTTACAAAATTTCCCAGAAAAACAACAAATGCTGGAGGAATTTGTGAAAAAAAAAGAACAATAATACACTGTTTGTGGAGTTGTGAACTGGTCCATAATTTGGAATTATGCACAAAGGGCTGTAAAACTCTGCATAGCCTTTTCCCCAGCTATATCACCTCTAGGTCTCTATCCCAAAGAAACCAAAGTGAAGGGAAAAGGACCTACTTGTACAAAAATATTTATAGCCTCTCTTTTTTGTGGTAAAGAATTGGAAATTGATGGGATATCTATCAATTGGGGAATGACTGAGTGAGTTGTGGTATATAATTGTGATGGAATACTATTGTGCTATAAAGAGTAATGAGAGGGATATGACCTAGGAAGAATGACCTAGGGAGACATTTATGAACTAATGCAGAGTTAAATGGGCAGAACCAGAAGACTATTGTACATATTAACAGCAATATTTTAGTGGTGATCAACTGTGAAAGACTGATCAATAGTTATGCAAGAGCATTCTGAAGGATTTATTATGAAAAATATCATCCATCTTCAGAGACAGAACTGATGAACAGTTTGAACACAAATTGAAGAATACTTTTTCATTTTATTTTTCCTGGTTTTTGTGTGACATGGCTAATATGAAAATGTGTTTTGCACAATTTTGCATGTAAAAAAAAGTCTCCTAGACCACTGAGAGATTAAGTGACTTGTCTAAGGTCACAAAGGCCCTATATGTCAGAGATGGGACTTGAACTTCCAACCTCAGGTTCTTGCTTTCTTACACTTGTCTTGGTCCACTTCATAGGATAACTGCATTGTTCTTAGTATTTAGAGGTAATTTCATCTAACTTTTTTATTTTACACAGAAATGAACTGAAGCCAAAGAATTTAATTCCCTGGTATGTATACACAGTGATAGGCAAATTGGAATTTTAACACAGGTCTTCTGATTTCAAAACAGATGACTGACATATCTCCTCCAGATGTCATACCCATTAAATTGGTATTAAACAAACACCCTCTAAATCATACAGTCTGGTGCTGATTTTACACTATGATTTCATGTCACTGCATGGATGGGTGAAGTGTGTGTTTGCTTTTTAATTTTTTTCTTTTGTACAATGCTGAAAAATTGATTTTTTTGTGGTACAGACTTCACAGTGTTATTACAAAAATCAAATGGGGTCATACATACAAAGTGCTTTGCAAACTCTACATAAATGTCAGTAATAACCATCATTATTACCACCCTGAATAGAAAAGTTTATATATATACACACGCATATATATATGTGTGTGTGTGTATATATACATACATATATATAAACATATAAGATCTTTCCTTGTTATATAATATTAAATATGACTTAAAAGTCCATTGGATGTCTATTAATACATTAATATTTTGGAAAGACATTGAAGATCATCAATTAGACAAGTGATTGAGAAGGAGGACTAGATGATAGTATTCGGAAAATTGTGCTGCATCTTTGATGGTCTCAAGTTTCTTGCTGCTTCTAGAATCCATCTTGAACACTAAGATTCTACTGGTAATGCTACATAACTGTGGATCATGTGACATCATCATCTCAGAAGAATAACAGTTGCAGATGCCCGGAACAGCTGTAAAAATATGCATGGCACAGAAAATTATCAGTCATGGCTAGTGTTAAGAAGTACAATAAAAGGTATCATTGAGTACATGCATTAAATAAAGAAACCACACACATGCAGAGGCGAATCATCCATGTAGGGAGAGGGTGGGATAACTGACAGACAGCTCTGTTGTAGCACTGGTAGTTTTAAAATATTAAATAATAAGAGCAACTTCTCCACTGCATTGTTCTTTCTCTAAGGAAGGTTTATGGAAAGAAATTTATAGGACTTGCACACAATGTGAAGGCATGAGAGTTTTTCAATCTATACCAGTAGAAAGAGTGTCCACATGAATGAGGTCATCAATTTGTCTAATAGTTGACATAAGTATGTCTAATTTATAAATGTTGCTAATGACCCCCCCCCATACACATTCCTTTTCCCACTTTCCTGTCTTCCCTCTTCCAAATACTTTCCAACCCATTAGTTTATAACCTAACATTACTCATTAACCTATTGCAAGTTTTCAAGATATGTTCTGCCTTAGAACATCTAGGCTGAATTAAGAGACATCCTCTGCCTTCTTGATCATATTCTTGACTGATGTCCTCTTCTACATCTTGTCTACCACCCCTAGCAACCACATGGTAGATTATTGAATTATTTGGTTAGGCTAGTAGCTTTTAAAATATATTTACAGAATTTTAGCAGATATTATACATCTAAATTGTTAGTTATTTGTGGGGTAATGTATTCCCATAGTTTCAAAATAGTATTGTCAAGGGCTGGGGCTGGAAGGGCACCTTTCAACAAGCCATTTAATTTGCCATCTGTAAAAGGGGGATATACCTTCTACTTCTAGCGAACACTAAATGGCGGACGACGCCAATGCTGCAGGGGGTGTTGGAGGCCGAGGTGGCTCCCGCGGTGGCTTCGGCAGTGGGGCCGACGTCGAGTTCAGGGCTGTGGCCATGGCCGCGGGGCCCGGGGAGGAAAGGCAGAAGACAAGGAGTCTTCTAGCTGGACTGGCTAGTCAAGGATATGAAGATCAAGTCTTTGGAAGAGATCTATCTTTTCTCCCTTCCTATCAAGAAGTCTGAGATCATAGATTTCTTCCTGGGATCTTCACTGAAAGATGAGGTTCTGAAGATCATGCCTGTTCAGAAACAAACTAGAGACGGACAACAAACCAGATTCAAGGCTTTTGTGGCCACTGGTGACTACAATGGCCATGTTGGCCTGGGTGTCAAGTGCTCCAAGGAAGTGGCCACAGCTATTCTGGCCAAGCTGTCCATCGTTCCTGTGAGATATGGTTACCGGGGGAACAAGATTGACAAGCCTCACACAGTGCCTTGCGAGGTTACTGGGCGATGTGGATCGGTTCTGGTGTGCCTAATCCCCGCCCCTAGAGGTACTGGCATCGTCTCAGTTCCTGTGCCTAAGAAGCTCCTGATGATGACAGGAATTGATGACTGCTGCACATCTGCAAGGGACTGTACCGCCACTCTGGGCAACTTTGCTAAATCTGCCTTTGATGTCATCTCCAAAACATACAGCCATCTAACCCGAGACCTGTGGAAGGAGACTGTGTTCACTAAGTCTCCCTATCAGGAATTCATGGACCATCTTGTGAAGACTCACATTCGTGTGTCTGTCCAGAGGACTCAGGCAGCTGCTGTGGCAACTACATAGATGTTTTTTTTTTCTTATAAACAAATAAATTGAACTATGCCTGCTAAAAAAGGGGTTGGGGTATGAAAAATAAACCCTTATTTCAGGGAGATGTGGCAAAGTTGAATTTATATGAAAGGAATGAGCTTTGAAAAATCTCACTATAAAGTTGCTATAGAAATGCAAATAATTAGTGTAAGGCTTTTGGGGGTGTAAGGTGCTATGTGCCTACAAAACATTAAAACATCTCATTTTATCTGTTTTAGGGTGGCTGACTGCCTTTTAATTTCATCAAGTACCTCATTTCCCCTGAATTGTGACAGGATAAAGAGCAGCAGCAACTGACATTTTGTAAATGATACATTGTTTTTGTAGCTGCCTTTCTTTTAACCTCAAAAGGACATTCTTATTCTCTGTGAAAGCTACCCCTTGTAATTAAAGGATCTTTTTTTTTTCAGAAAAGATAATTAAGTTTTATGACTTACACATTATTGAGAAGAGCCTGACATTAACATCTAATATTTGGCCACCACCAGGAGCAGAGATTTACTCATCATTATATTTGAAGTAGAAAAGAAAGGTAAGATATTAAAAGAATTATATTAAATTATACTGTTACATTATATTACATTAGCTTACACTATGTTATATTCATGTTACATTATGTTACCTTGTGTAGTGTTTTGCTATGGTATTGTATATTATGCTATTATATCATGTTTTGTCCTGTCACATCATGTCATATCATGCTATGGCTTGTCATACCATATCATGGTACCATATGTTGTTATAATAATTACATATAATAGTATATGTGTGTATACATATATGTATACACATATATACATGTGTGTGGTTTGCCTTTAGTGTCTTATCTTAGGGCTTAACATAGAATAATAGATTTAGAGCTCTAGGGTACATTAGATATCTAGTCGAATTCACTTAATATACAAATGAGGAAATTGAATCTCAAAGACATTAAGTGACTTGCCCAAAGTCTTACAGGTCCCAAGTGACAGAGCTAAAATTACCAACCAGATCTGTCTGCAGATGTAATGTTCTTTCCTCAATGGCCTTATAATAAAATAAAAAGCTTGAATTGTTTTTTGTTTGTATAACGAATTTTGATTGTTGTGTCTGGTACAGTCTCTGATGAAGAGGGTAGCGGGGAATAAGAAACAAGATACCCCTTGCTCTCTGTCCCTTTGTGAGTTGCCTCCCCACATTGGATTGAAGCTCCTTGAAGGTAAGGGTTATCTTTCTTGTTATTAATTGTACCCCCCAGCACTTAGCACAGTGCCTGGCACATAATAGGTGCTTACTAAATGTTTATTGGATTGGATTGAGTGAGCAGTTAATGCCATATCAACTTTATTTTTCTGGAATGACTCAGAACCATAAAAATTATTTTGTTAATTAATTTCAGCATTTAGTCAATGAATACTTTTTGGGAGGTTGGATAATGGGGTTAAGTGACTTGCCCAGGGTCATACAGATAGTAAATGTTATGTGTCTGAGGCAGGATTTGAACTCAGCTCCTCCTGAATCCAGGGCTGGTACTCTATCCACTGCGCCACCTAGCTGTCCCACAGTGAATACTTTTGATCACATATTATACATTAGGCATAGTGCTAGGTGCTACAGAAGATACAAAAAAGGATTATGACAATCTTATCCCTCAAGGAAAAGGATATAGTGCATAGAAGGGTGCAATATAATATAACACACACACATATATATATATTATATATATAATACATAATATATAATATATATATATATATATATATAATATATATATATATATACTGCATATAAGGTAGATCTCACATTAAAATGTCAAAATAAAATAGAGAACTACCAAGTCCTCATCCCACAGAATGATCCTTTATGTGGAAGAGATCAGGGTAGACTTTGTGGAGGAGATAACATTTTACCTGGGCTATGTAGGATATATAGAAATTGTACAGGGGGAACCAGAAGAAGGAAGGAATTTCAAATATATAACCACAGACAGTCCTCAGGAAAATTTGTTTCCAGCTTCAAGGCAAAAACTCTTTCATAAAAACAAAACAAAATATAATTCAATAATATATGTATGTGTGCATTCATCAATCAACAAGCATCTATTAAGCACCAGCTATATGGTAAACACAACATTCCTTATCCTCACAGGGCTTTCATCCTACTAGGGGAAGCAATATTTATGTATATAAGTACATACAGGAGACATACAAAACAAATAAGAGGTAATTTTTAAGGGGAAGCCATTAGCATCTCAAGGGAATAGGAAAGAACTCATGCAGAAAGTTGCTCTTGAGTTGATCCTCATAACAATTTCATAAGGTTGATACAACACTTATTATCATTCCTACTTTACAGAAGGAGAAACTGAGACATAGAGAGGTTAAGTGATATCTAGAGTCACATAGTAAACTGATAGAGGAATCAATTCAAACCCAATCTCTACTTCCACCAGTCAATAAGTCAGTCAACAATTTTTTATTAACCACCTGCCAGGTACTGTGCTCAGTACTGAGTCAAATACAATGCTGGTCTATTGCCAAGTCTTTACTGCATTAGTCACAAACCACTCAATTGCATGGTATTCATGTATTCAATTTAAAGTTGTTTGGGGGGAAGCTGACTCTTTAGAAATGTCAATGTCAATCTATTCCCCTAGGTGGTGCTGGGCTGGAATAGAAGACAATATCTAGCACTGGGGTGGGGAACCTACGGCCTCAAGGCCACATGTGGCCTTCTAGATCCTTGGGTGCAGCCTTTTGACCTAGTCCAAGTTTTACAGAACAAATCCTTTTATTAAGGGGATTTGTTCTGTGAATTTTGGATTCAGTCAAAGGGCTGCACTTGAGGACCTAGAAGGCCACATGTGGCCTCTAGGCTGCAGGTTCCCCACCCCTGCACCATGCTATGTTTCTCTCAGTATGGTCCTCAGTGAGGTTCTAATGTCCTGTTTCATAGAGGAAATGAAATTCAATCACACTAACATGTAAATGGCCTATAATTTTAAATTGCGACACTCCCCAGAGAGTGTTGAATTTAAGTAGGCTATTAAAGCCTTAAACTAAAGGAAAGAAGTTCCTATTTTGAAATTTCAGGCTTCATTGAAAAAAAAAATGGAGGATGGGAACTTCTTCTCTCCAACTTCACTAAAATCAGAGCTTATGGGTGGTAACATACTTTGCCTATAAGTAAGATAAGTCCTTTATGTAATAACATCGCAATTTCTTTTCTGAATTATGATGAAAGGAGAGGAAAAGGGGAAGTCACAAGTTTTATTGGAAGGAGGTATTCTCTCTCTCTGGAAGTGTAGTTCTGCTCTTAGTTGGTGGACATTTGAAAACTTTGGGCTTTCCTTTTTATCAAGGGGAGATGCCAGAATCCATTCTAGGCAAATCCATGAAGATGAATTTTCTTTTCAGTACTGCAGATGCCCTAGTTTCTTGCATTTTTCTTCTTCAGTTATATGCTTTTCATGGTGAGTTCTTCTTCTTTTCCTTCCCTTGTAGTTCTCCTTGATACGTTATTGTCCCACATTAGAATGTAAGTTTTTTGTTTTTTGTTTTTGTTTTTTGGGGTTTTTTTTTTTGGAGGCAGAGACTGACTTGCTTACATTTGTATTTGCAGCATGCAGTAAAGTGCCTGGCATATTGAGTTTCTATGTGGAATTTGGGGAACCTATTTACCCACATTTGGGAAGAACTTGACGAGAGGTGTTTTGTTGTTGTTTCCCCCCTACTCCCAAATAATTCTCCTGTAATTTCTAAGGTGAGAGCATGAGCCAAAGAGAAACTGACCATTTAGAGTCAGGCTCTTAGGATCAAACTCAGTTAGTGTGAGCCCAGAGCCTCTTGTGATGGACTTGGACAGAATGATCATCTAAGAAATCTAGAGAATGAGATTCCTACACAATTCTCCAGATCCAAGCAATGATTCTTTGGGCATTGGATAAACAGGATGAAATAAAGGAACAGGTACCTAAGAAATATTTGAACTCAATGAGTCCATACAGCTAAGTTCTTTTAGCTACTCAAAAGAAATCAAGCAAATATGTATAAATATTTGTTTTTATTTTTCTCCTTCTCTTTGTATATATTTGATCAATTATTCAACTATGTCGATTCCATTACTTTGTTTGGGATAATTATTTGAGTTCTCTGTGTGTGTGTGTGTGTGTGTGTGTGTGTGTCTTTCTCTCTGTGTCTCTGTCTCTCTCTTCAATCTGAAACTTGTGTTAAAGCTCACTTACTTTATCAGCACCCTCTCTGAGCTGTATCTTTGCTGACTGAGGCCAGCTGAATACCTCAGTCATATGTGACAAGTAACAGTTCTTTATTCCTGGCAACATAATATATTATGATTCAAAATACGTATTTGCTTCGGAAAAAAAAAAGCAAACAACCCTCAGATTGCCCAATAGCCATTTTTACTCAATCAAAAATGCAAATGTTTTTATCTGCTTATTAAAGGTTCTACTCATTATTATGTCACAATAGATTGTTTCTCCTAAGATTTATGTGTGTGTTTATAAAAATAGATCTAAGTGGCATACAAGTAGTATCCTTGTCATATGACTGACATTGTTGACAACAATTAAACAAATCCCTTGATCTTCCAAACTTGCCTGTTAGTTGAAGGCATCATCATTCTTCCATTCTTCCAGGTTCCCAACATCAGTGCTTTCCTTTATTCCTCACTCTCCCTCACCTGACATATCCAATCATTTGCTGGTTTGTTCTACCTCCACAAATGTCTATTGAATCCAACCCTTTTATTTTACTCACTTGGATACAAACTTAGTTCAGTCCTTTGTTACTTCTCACCTAGGCTATTGTGATGGACTCTTAATTGCTTTCCTTGCCTCATTCTTTCCCATTCTATTCTTAACAAGCTACCAATTTGGAGGGTATTTTTAAGCTACCAAATTATTTCATTAAGTACATATCTGATCATATAACCCCCCCAACTAAACTCCAGTGGTTGCCTATTAACTTTAGGAT